CGACGCTGACAGGTACCAAGAGTATAGCATTGCATCTATCCGAGCTTTACAACGATGCAGGGGAACCAAAATGCTCAGTTTCAGTTCTTTTTGCAGAGTGTTCCAAGGAACAGTCCTAGCACTCGGCACATGGAACAAAAACACACCCTGGGATCTCAGGCAATAGCTACTTCACTCTCTGTGAGATCAGAGAGCAGATATAAGGTGGTAGTTTACCCAACATGGCTTTATAAATGAACATGTACCAGTGACTGAGCCTCCGTACAGTGAGTGAAGGCAGACCTGCCCTTGCATACAGGGTACAGTGATGGGTTAATGCTTTACAGTTTGTCACACATCTCAGAGCGCTGTGATACGCAGCATCTAACTTGTTCAGGCAATGGGCAGGTGCATTCATATAGATCAGATCACCATAGTCCAGCACAGGTCAAAAGGTCACAGAGCCTTTTCCTGGCCTCAAGTGAGAAACAGGACTTGTTCCTGTAGAAGAAACCTAGCCTAACCCTCAGCTTTTTAAGCAGGTTAATGACATGAAGTTTAAAAGTGAGACAATCATCAAGCCAGATACCAAGGTATTTGTAACAGGTAACCACTTCAAGTTTTATTCCTTGCGTAGTAACAATATCTAAAACAGGCTCTGGTGTCTTTTTAGCTTTAGAAAAGAGCATTACCTTGGTTTGATCCACATTTAAAAGAAGCTTGAGTTCAGAGAGCTGAGTCTGAATAATGTTAAAAACAGCCTGTAATTTAACACCAGCCTCCTGAATGGAGGGACCTGCACAGTACATCACGGTATCATCCGCATACAAATGTAAAGTAGCTTCATCCACATTTTCACCTAAACTGTTGATATATATGGAGAATAAAAGTGGACCTAAAACAGAACCTTGAGGAACACCATTAGTAATGTTTAACCACTCAGAAGACAGCCCATCAAAGTGAACACATTGGGACCTTTCAGAGAGGTGGTTCACAAACCACCCCACTGCATGGCTGGATATGCCAATACTGAGTAGCCTCTGCTTTAGGATGCAATGATCGACGGTATCAAACGCTTTGGAAAGGTCAATAAATAGAGCTGCACAACTCTGCTTATTATCTAAAATACTCGTAATGTCATTCACCACTTTCATTGTCGCAGTGATGGTGCCATGTTGCTTTCTGAAGCCTGACTGATGTTTAGACAGGATATTATTTTTACATAAAAACTCCTTTTAGCAAAGGCAAGACATAAACTGACTTCCATATTTTTGGAATTGCATTTGTGCTGATGGAGAGGTTAAAAAGAGAAGTAAGAGGTGGAGCAATAAAATCTGCAGCTATCTTTAAAAAGAAAGGTTATACGTTGTCCGGGCCAGCCGGTTTCTTAGGATCTAACTTAGATAAGGCTTCATGAACAACATTAACAGTAAAAGGAGTAAAACTGAAAGGGTTTTCCAGACCACATTGTTCAGAGTCATGGATTGGGGTGTTCACAGCAGCAGAGTTAGAAACAGAATCAAAAAGAGAGCCACAGGACACAAAATGCTTATTAAAGCAATTTAACATGGTAGCCCTGTCCGATATAGTGCCAGATGCTGTGGTAAGGCAGGGAGGTAGCTCATTACGGATCTCAACGGTGGATATCGATTTTATGGCTTTCCAACATTTCCTCGGATTATTTAGGTTTTCTGTGGTAACTGACAAATAGTACTTCGACTTCGCACTTTTGATATGTGAAGTGAAGCTATTCCTTAGCTGCCTAAAACGCAGCCATTCTACCTCTGAGCCTGATTTCCTAGTCTTTTCCCAGGCCTTGTTCTCTCATGCATGGGACTAGACAGGTCAGCAGAAAACCAAGGATTGTCACGTCCCTTTACTCTTTTTCCCAATCAAAATGATTGATTTTTTTCCTGAATTTTTTCAACTGCACAACACATTCAAGGACTAATCCTCTATAACTCTACAATTCAAGAAGCAACAGTGGCAAACTATGGCACCATTGACTCTCAAACGCCCCCTACAGGACAACGAACTGGTGACATGGTTAAGATTCCCCCCTTACTGGTGACGGTGTTACATCAGTGTTAACCACAACTCTTTAAGATATGACAAACTGCAGTGTGTTATGGTGGAGGCCAGTGCAGAACTGTGCAAAATGTTATAAAGAGTACAACAAATTCCAAATGTACTTCAAAACATGCAACCGCCTCCCCCCCGCCCCCCACATCATGTTGCAGTATCAGCGATGTTTGGCTAGGGGATGCCACAGGAACACCAAACTGCTCCATCAGGGCTGGAGATAAACTACTGCGGATGACACATGACCTCCTGATGTTCTAAGCATTCATTCTTAATACATTACTTCTCATTCACTGTAGTCTACCCCCTCCACGTCCTGTGAAATGATTTAGAGGTATGGTGCCCTAAAATACAATGTAAGAAAGAAACAAGTCCTCAGGATAATTAAAAAATAAATGTTATTTTATACATAATGTGCCCTCCAAAACCCAAAGCACCTACTTATCCTTGCAAATGAATACTCAAGAAGCATATTGGTGTTTGTATAAATCTAATTCAATGCTAACTGAAAATGTGTTGTATAGATGTGAAACTATGTTAAATATTGTGATTAAACGAGAAGAGAATGTCATTTCTAAGGGTAAAAGTACAAATAAATGGAATGGAAAGAATAGTGTGACTGTGGTTATGTTTTGACTGCAACTGAACGGTTTCTATTAGCTAATCTGTGAAAAATCTACAAAATGTTCCTTTCATTCAAAAGATTGTCTCTCACAGTTGCCAACACATGAAAAGTGTTTATTTTGCGCTTCTTGCCAAACGGTTCTCACACATTCAGGAAGAAGTGGTGCAGTTTGTATTTCCCCTTCCAAAGCTAAAAGCGTCCTGTCTCACAGAGCAGCCCCCCCCCCACACACACCCCTCCCCATCCTCTGCAGGCTCTTCTCTGCAGCCCTCAACCGACTGATTCACAGAAACACTCTATTCTTCTGCTACATTCAGGGCCCATGGGAAAAAATTGTAAATATGAGCTTCTTGCATGCAAATCCTGCTCACCTCAGGATTGTATGAGCTGGTGAATGGACTGGTGCAGTTTTTTTTAGGTGGACCCTAAGGTAAGCATCTCAAGGGCTCCCTCAACATGTGTGATATATAAATGTATATAAATGTGCAGGCAATAAGATATTTGGCAAACTAATGTTTATGTTACCTTCACGTTTTGTTCAGCAGGATAATCTCTATTTATTAAAGCCACGTCTATGAATTAAACATCCATGAAATAAACAAATAACATCAGTAAACACTGAAAAAACTGAAGCGTTGACTTAAATTGAATTAATTATTTCCGCAAATTTCAAATAACTGTATTAGGTTAGTTGAAAGCAACAATACAGTTGTGTGAAATCTGTCAACATAATACATTTAATCAAAGCCAACGGTTCATTTTTTTCAGTGAAGGCAGTTTGATGTTCAGTATAGTCTCATTTATTCACTTTTTATGACGCATTGAACCTTCAGACATTCACCAGTGGTGTATTTAATTACGTATTTTATGTCGTAGGCCAAAACGTGAACATCTCTTCAGCTTGTGTTAAACAGGCATCTATAAAGTGTTTGACTTCAAGACGAGGGAACCGGAATTGGTGAAATGCTAACTCATTCCCACGTTTAAGGACTCATTCCTGCCCCACTCTATGGCCACACTGACGTTGAGGCCAAAAAGTCGGCACTCATAAAACGGCATGTTAAATCCAAACACAGTCAACAACTGGTAAAATAGTAGGCTATATTACAAGACTGCAAGACATGACTGAAACCAACATATGATATGAAAGCAGCATTAGTCAAAGCTTTATTGATTTTAATTGAGAGAGTCTTCTGTTTCAACACCGGACACTCACTTTCTCAAGACTTCAGTGATGGAAAAACTACAAAATGCATATATTCATGTAGTAAAAGAGAAAATAGAACAACTAGAATGTAAAACATTTTTAACAAGAGTGCAAATCAAAGTCATGTAGGGCTTTTTGAGAACAAAACCTGACAGTAATACATTTTATGTAGACACAGCCTTCAGAACTCTATGGCTAATTTATTTAAAATAGTTAAACTGTCTTCTTGTATGCTATTATTATTATTATTATTATTATTATGTGATTAAGTCGCCTACTGTGTTATTATTATTGATGCATTAACGTTTAAGTGTAGCACCTTGGTTCTTGGCCCATTTTTTATCTGCCACTAGCTGTCAAATTAAACATGGTAGATAAAAGCAGCGTACACTGTATCCATCTTAAACATGGTCGAATAAGGTATAGCAAATGGATCACTGAAGTACGGAAACATTTAGCAAATATTTGCTCGTTTATTTACACAAAATCAAAAGTAACACAAATATTCCTAAAATGAAATATAGGTACATTTAAGAAGTAGCTTTATTTGTCAAAAAGAATTGCATCCCAATGTGCGACTTTACTGTGCAATATGTGCAAAAGTAGCTTATTGTGTTATTAACATTAATGCATTAACATTAAGTGTAGCATCTTGGTTTTATCCACAATTTAAATCTGCAACTAGTTGTCAAAGTAAACATGATAGAATAAAGGTATCCTTATATAGAAGAAGAAGTAGGGTGAAATTGTATACTAAGAAACATTAAGCATATGTGCTGGCTTACTTTTACCGTAGTTTAAAGTTGACGTTTTCTACTTTCCCCACATTACATGAACGCAGCACTGTCTTCCCTTCTTCCTCCTCTCATCCACTCTGCAGGGCATTGGGGGGGGGGGTGACTGCTAAGAGCCGAGCCTGCCTGCAGAGTCACTCACATTCCTGGCTGGGATTCAATGACTGAGCCAGACACACAAACACAGAGGGAGGGGGTGCGCGTGAGAGAGTGCGAGTGAGCGACTGCGAGTGCGAGTGCGAGAGAGAGAGAGAGAGAGAGAGAGAGAGAGAGAGAGAGAGAGAGAGAGAGAGAGCGAGGGAGCGAGAGCGAGGGAGCGCGAGCAGGCTGCCTCGCAGACTTCTCTCAATACAGTCAGAGTGAACTGCGGGGGCACGCGGAGTGGATTTCTGCAGTCACCGACAGCGGAAAGAGCCTCAAATAACGATTTTTTTATTGAGCTGTTTCGACTCAAAGACCCGCTTTTGTGTTATTTTTCGCTTGTTTGTTTTGGAACTCGAAAAACAGAACTTCTCTTGAGTTTGGAGAAAATTTTTTCAGATATGGACAGTCGGCGACCCGCTGCAGGGAGCGACTGGCCAGTGTACCCTCAGTAGACTTGGGAATAAAACTGTGAACTCGCCTTCTGGCTTTTTTTTACTGGATGTTTCATGAAGCGCTTCGCATTTTTGGTCAGTTCTGGGACACCGTGGATTTACCAGGTTCGGAAACGGATAGATACTCGTGACTCACTGTCGACGACCAGAAGGATTTACGCTTCTAAAGTTGAAGGGAAAACATGGAGACTGTAAATCGGCAGAGCTTCCAGCCTCACCCGGGACTGCAACAAACTCTCAAGCAGTTTCACCTCAGCTCTATGATCTCTCTGGGCGGACCGGCGGCTTTCTCTGCCCGGTGGCAACATGAGCTCCTGTTCAAGAAGGACGGAAAGGAGCCCGAGCCGGCTCTGCAGCATCTGCCGCCCCCGGTGATGCCGGGCCCGCTGTTTATTCCGTCGGACCGCTCCACTGAGAGGTGCGAGACTGTGCTGGAGAGCGAGACCATCTCCTGCTTCGTGGTCGGCGGGGAGAAGCGACTGTGTCTGCCGCAGATCCTCAACACGGTGCTGCGGGACTTCACCCTGCAGCAGATCAACTCAGTTTGCGATGATCTGCACATCTACTGCTCCCGGTGCACGGCGGACCAGCTGGAGATCCTCAAAGTCATGGGGATCCTGCCCTTCTCTGCACCGTCCTGCGGTCTCATCACCAAGACGGACTCCGAGCGGCTCTGCAACGCCCTGATCTACGGAGGCGCCTACCCTCCGCGCTGCAAGAAGGAGCTGAGCGGAGGCTCCCTGGAGCTGGAGCTCACTGAGAGGAGCTTCAAAGTCTATCACGAGTGTTTCGGCAAGTGCAAGGGGTTGTTCGTGCCGGAGCTGTACACCAACCCCAACGCAGCGTGCATCCAGTGCATGGACTGCAGACTCATGTACCCTACCCATAAGTTCGTGGTGCACAGTCACAAGGCACAGGAGAACAGGACTTGCCACTGGGGATTCGACTCGGCCAACTGGAGGGCGTACATTCTCCTGGGCCAGGATTACTCGGGGAAAGAGGAGAAGGCCCGTATGGAGCAGCTCCTGGACGAGATCAAGGAGAAATTTGACTTCGCCAACAAGTACAAGAGGAAAGCATCGTCCAGGGTAAGTTGGTCCTCATACCACACTACTCCCCCACGGGCTCTAAATTCTGTGTTTTCTGTGTTGCACTGTGGGTTTTGGTTTGCTCTTTCTGATCCGAGTTTATGCAGTAGTTGTTTTTTCTTAAATGTTCCTGCACAGTACCGAGTTTACAGTTTGACACACACCCTATAATGCATTAATATCTAACAGCTTGGCAACTTGTAACTTTTAATAACGGGATGGAGGGTCCCCTCAAATGTCCCTGCACCCAATTGGATAATGCTGTATTGGTTCATAATTGTGCTCGTGGGAATCCCTCGAGAGGGTTCCCTTGAAACTTGTCCCTCTCAAATAATGCATGAACACAGTTATTCTGAGCCACTTACACCCCTACAAAAATAACTTGGGATCGTATTGATGTCCTGCTGTGTAATATGTGTCAACCTATTTGGCCATCTTTGACATATTGTGACTAATTGGGCCTCATCCAGCAATGACAACAAAACGCCTCTGGTGGCAATAAAGCCATTATTTGCCAGAGAAACACCTCTCAGGATCACTTTTATTGGCCTGCACTGTAAATACAATCTCATTTACTAACAAATGGCTCAATGGGAAATGGTAAACAACAGTTAGGGGCAGTGTGTCGATTAAACATGGGTCCAAGTGAGGAAATAATTATTCCTTTATCCAGTGGGATATCCTTCCACAGTGAATATTTCTTTCACTGCACGTGTGCTCCCATGGGGAGAGATACACTGCCAAAGCATTGGGATTACTCTTCTTACAACAAGGTGTGTTTGTGCGAGAGCCTTGTGTGTCACATGAAATGTACTATATTTCTGGTTGTCATGTGCCTGGCTTCCTGTGGATCAGCAATATTTTGAGATAGTTCTAAAATGTTTGAATAATCTAAATTAGCGCATATATGCAGGTTTTGGCTCTGCATGTTTCCTTTGGTCTAGGTGATCAGATACGAGGCTTCCAACTAATGAAGTAGTTGAGACATCTGAATATTTTTTCCATGTTCCTGCTGCTCTGCTCTTTGGGCTGATTGACTGTAGAGGTGTGTGAAGGGATTATAATCTGTTTTTTGTTGTGCCGGCAGGAGTTTTCAGAGAGAGAGAGAGAGAGAGAGAGAGAGAGAGAGTAGTTGGGTGGTAGACTGATAAAAGGAATCCCACCCCCAACCCACCCCTAGAAAAAAGGCTAGGGCAGCCATTTGCATGAGCTGTTACACATGAATGGAGTTGATGGAGCAGGGTTTAGAAGTATTGTGGTGGAAACATAATATGATCCTAACAAAGGAGAGCATTCAGCAAACATCGGACCCTCCTCCCAAACATCCACCTACCCCAGGCCAGCCACCACCTCTGACATACACGCACCCATACTCCCCTCCCCCTCTTACCTACTTTTTACTTCAATCTGTTTGAAACCAGAGTGGACTTCTGTGCTGCAGACTTGTTGATGAGGCACAGAAAGCAAAAGTGTTTACAAGAAGCTCCCATCCAGTTCTCCACTGAGGCTTCTTTCAGAGGAATCTGCCAAAGAAAGAGAAATCAGGGAGACCATTGAAGTCCTAGAGAGTGCCAAAGCCCTGCCATGCATGGTGAATACCCACTCTTGGCACACACTTTCATTCAGACTCAAGTGGGCACACCTTAAGGAGCCCCACTTTTAGGGGCCTCTTCTATTTTTATAAGTGCCGACGGGGCACCCAAGTGTTAAGCCCAAGGCTCATTTGAGCCTCTACCCCGCTTTTTAATTTGTAGCCTCCTATTTCCCTCGCAAGTATCTTGCTTTAAGAAATTCTAATGAGGGAATACATGCTGGGTAGGAGTTGAGGAATATTGCTTAACTTATGACTACAGAGCTCCCCTTTGTCAGCACATTTCAGCACAGCCAAGGCACTTTGAAAACGCTCTTGCAGGATGTGAGGCAGAGTGCTAGACTGTGTCGTGCTGCCTGCTACCTAGCGCATGAGAAAATGCCATCATCTGCGTGCTGTCAGCGGAGTAACCGGGCAGCTCTGTGAATATTAATGAGGCTGTTTCAAAAGTGTTAGCAGCAGTCTCGCATGCAGACAGACACAGGAAGTTATATTGTGGCACTTCCCTCCTTGCAGATGCTCTTTTCAGAGGTTCCTTCTGAGACATGCATATCTCTGAATCACACCGTTTGAGTGTAACAGCTTTTCACTTTTTGTAACGTACTTGCATTTGTGGAAGTGAAGGAAGGAGCTTGGGTTCGCAGTAAGAGTGCATTCTCTGTTCCAGTCTTAGAGGATATGAGCCGCGACTCTGATTGTAAACAACTAATGCAGCGAACTATTGAATTGTTGAAATGAGTTTATAAGCTGGGTGTGGAGCTGTTCTCTGGGTGGTTGATGCCAGCCCCTGGCTGCGAGTCCTTTGGTTTCTGGCTGGTACACATGTGGGTGGCACACATAATCAGTGGTTTTCCGCATCAGGATGTTTAGATAAGGGTTGTGGCTTCAGATTTAGTATGTTGTGAACTTTATAATTTGCCCTCAAGATGATGTGATTTCTACAAAATCCGTCTGTTTAAGCGAGATATGAGCAAGAGAATTGAGGGGCTAGGGGGTTGTTTGCTGTCGAGCCAGCTCAAGCTTGACTCACGCTTGGTTCAAAACCAGCAAGTATATGTCAGAGATTCCATTTTTGTGAGGATCCTGTTCCGGCAGTCAGTGGGTATAATTCCAGAGCCGCTACTCCTTCGGTGAGGCACCTGATGTGATCTGAAAACACTCTTTACTTGGCTTTCATTAAACATATTAACCCTGACCTGGATGCCTCAATCCAGATTTCCTCCTAATCCAGCGACTCATTTGGATTCTGTAGCGATGTGTTTAGAGACAAAGGAGTAGTCAGAATCTGTCCAATGATTCTGTGCTGCTCCATTAAGTAACTGTAATGACACCAAACTCATACCTGCAGGCTGTTTCCAAGCTTTATCCTGTGGCTCGTTGTAATAAAATCTAACTGAACCGACTGTTCTGTAGCACAGAGCTATAAAGGCCTGAAAACGGCAAAAGGAAACAAAACGTTTGTGAGCTTTGAATATTTGCCTCTAAGGCATTGCATTCCAATATCTGACTGCCATTCTCTAATGTGCAGGACCTAAAACTTCCCCTTTTACTTCCAACAACCCCCAACCCTGAGAAGCCCCCACTGCTGCTTGGGATATCTGGCCTCCAGCTGAAGGGGCCGCTTGTTTCAGGAGGGAGGTTGGGCGGTGGTGGTGGTGGGGGCCCAGAGGAAGTGAACTCCCCAAGGGGATATAGGCCCATGTCCTGTTTCATATGCAAGGCGCAGTGTTGGCTTAGCCTGCTGACAGCCAGCCATGTCCACACGGTGGACAGGACAACAGCTGGGAGCTGCACATTTCAATGGCTGCTCAGGGAACATTTCCATTCTCATTTGATGGCTGTTTGGCAAAACGTGGCAGATGCAAAAGTCTAAAGACAATTTGTCGTGGTCGTTGTGTTGGTGTGGAAAAGTGTTTTTAAGATATTCAATGCTGCATTTTCTGTTATTTTGTTCTCTTTTTCTGCCTGTTAAATAGCATCATTTAAAATGGGTGCACTGTGCTTGGAAAAGGAGGAAACTACCAATTCAATTAGGCATGTATAATGACTTCTGTTGCCGGGCCAGGCTGCCAGGCTGCCAGGCTGGGTTTCTAATGGGAGACAGTCAGTCCATGCTGTGAGGCATGACTGAGGATCACAGAGATCAATGCCAAATTGACATTCAAGTTGTCTTCGTGTCAAGTGTGATTGAAAACTCCATCACATCTCCAGCTCAATGAAACCAAACCAACACAGAAGGAGAGTTCACCGGTGAGATCAAAAAAGGCTTCTTTTAAATGATTTGGACAGCAATTGCTCATTGCCTGAATGTTATGCAAATTAAGTCAATTAAAAAGAGGGTGTTTAATTAGTCATTTAGTTTGTTTGCTCGTTTTTGTTGTTGTATTCATTTCCACATATGCCGTGGCTTTGTCAAAGCCTTTCCATTTACACAGTAACATTCTAAAGCACACTTATTGTACTTATTTAGACTCCTCGACACAAACTTTAAGTAACATGTATGTCGAAAGATGACAGGTCTGCACGATGATTTTGATGTGCATTAAAACGTTCGGTCAGTGTTTCCAGTTGTGTGAGGAAGTGGGAGAGGGTGGCAGAGCATCACAGGTTATATAGCATGTTGTGTTGTCTGGAAACATTGTCAAAAGGCTGCCATAGGAGTATGAGCGGAAAATGAGCTATGCAGGGATTCTTTTCATATGCCATGTCTCCCTGCCAGACGCTGTTTCTTTCAAAGTGGTTTGATGTCTGCCAACAAAAGGAATTTCCCAGTAGCTGCTCGATTGTGCACAAGTATCTTAAACAGTATGTGTTGGGGGGGGGGGGGGGGGGGTTGTTGTAGGATTCAGACGACTGTCACTTGACTCAAATGACCACCTTGTGTGTGTTTATCTTAGCATGATAACTCTGATTTTTCTATTCCAACCAATGACGCCAGACTTTTTAAACAATGCAAAGAGATGAATGGTTGGACCCCATAATTAGGGCTCAGTATCAAACCTTTGGTTAACAATTACTTCTTTAGTAAGAAATGTAATTATAGCATAAGTGTTGGCATTCTTATAAGATACGTCCTTATTATGTAAAGCTGGTTCTCGTTTTAAGACGTTTGAGCAGCATTTCTAGTTCTACGTGTTCGTTTCAATCATTCATGACTTTTTGAAAGAAAAAAAATGATTGGGTATTTCTGAAATTAAGAGATAGATAATTCTTGTGTTACCAAATCTCAGGTATCATATTGGCACAATGCCTAGCGATACAAAGAGTTTGATCCCCTGATTGTATTTTGAAGTTGCACATGTTGAAAGCATGTAGAACAAATTCTACTTCCAAAGCATTATTTAGGTGGTACTACATTTATGTAGTGCTCTCGAGTCATCCACTACATATATGAAAATGTTTCCGTTTGCTAAGTTAGTTCAAAAACCTTGATATTGTAGCTATCTTTGACAAATAGCAAAAGTCTTGTTCAGAAAGAGACAGTGACTAAGAAAAGGAGAAGTTCAAGCCCTTATTGAACACTCAGCTTGCAGTGGCTATGCTTAATTCTCCGAAGAACCTTAAGAGCGTCTCATTATCTTAAGTGTGGCACTGAAGAAAGAACCTGGTGACCTCCTCTAGGTGTTGCGTGGTAAAGAAGCTCTTCCTCAGTCAGATGGTGCTATGCGTTGTGTGACCTGAGTGTTGGCTTGTTAACAGAATTGTGTCAATTTTTTGTGGGCATTCAATATTCATGGTGGGTTCCGTAGGCGGCGAGGTCCTGCATGTTTATTTAATGTGAGGGTCTTTGAAATATTCATCAACATACATGGCACTGTAAGCCCAACTATTGTCCTGACTACACATCCCTAAGCAGCACCATCGGCTAACCTTTCGCCTCCTTACCTGCCCCGGGCTGCTGCAGCGGGGAGCATCAGGCAGGCAGCATCAGCATTTCTGCATCTGCCAAGTGGCAAAAAGCTTCAAGCTACACACACTTTCCCTGTCAGACACAACAAAGTTCTCACAGTTTACAGGTTGAAAAAATGAAATGTTAAAGGTCCCATGTCATGGCCATTTCTACTGATCATATTTCCATTGTTGAGGTCTACTAGAATACATTTATATTGTGCAATTTTCCAAACTCACATTGGTTTCTCATACAGCATCTCTGTATAGTATGTGTATTCACTCTCTGTCCTAATTGGCTTGTTGGAGCTCCTGCCCCCCCTCCCTGTGAGCCCAGTTGGCTCTGATTGGTGGAGGCTCGTTGCTGCTCGCCGTTGCTGCGAGGAGCGGACAGGTTTCCGGGTCAGCGATACAGCGAGAACAAGCAAAACTCATCCTGAGCACAAACACTCACAGCCGAAGTAAAAACAATAAGTGTGGCTTGATATTGAGTAAGAAAAAGGTTTATAGCGCTGTGAGAATGAGGCTGCGGAGAGCATTTCTCCGCCATCCCAACTCGTCTATTACCAGCGTTCAAGGAGCTCTATGCAAGTCAAAGGGGACTCCCTGTTAGTTAGCCAAGGGATCCTGGTGTGTGAGGTGCTCCGCGGATTGGTCTATTTGGGCCAATCCGGTCATTTGTTGTTGATTTGGGTATTCACATGTCACAGAACCCAGGAAGCAAACAATGGAGAATGAGAAATCTCCAACAAGGCGTTCTGGGGGAGCATAGACAGGTCTTCTCTGTGTTAGAGTTTTACTCGCTACAGGGTGTACTTTGAGGGTTTTTGACTCTGCAGACCGTTTACATGCAGAAAAACCTTCATAACACACAAGGGGACGGGTAATAACCGAAAAAGCATGACATGGGCCCTTTAAGGCAATTTCATTTGCAGTTTTATTCAAAATGCTACTCATACAAGGTTTTGGGTATAAAACTCCTAAACCAATGAATGTCTTTTCACCTGCGAGCCGTGAGGTTCTGGGTGGGCTGCTCCTCCACCTCTTGTATATGGATCCCACACATGATAAACAAGTCATATCTGAGTTAGGATTAGTGTTTGTGTTTATAGTATTGCCTGCCTCAAGGCGCTAAATGTGTGATTCCAGATGTATTTCCCACACCTTATGTGTGGGCTACAGC